CTTGATATAATGTTTCTATTGTGTGGTGGTTGTGGGTGTTTGGATTATTTGTTTCTGTGATTGGTACTGTCATTTCTGTAGTGCTATGATGTGTTTTTCTTGTTGTTGGTATTGTCATTGGATTGTTACTAGTTTCCTCTAATGTATTAATATGATTGTGGTTGTTGCTAATTTGATTTTTGTTATGAATTGTTTTGTCATCTGGTTCTGTTGTTGTTGGGCAGTTGTTCTCGTTATTACCTTGTTTATTGTTGTTGCTGTTTAAGTTATCCATATTACTGAGGAGTTGATTGTGATTGTCTCGCATTGCTAGGAAGGATGTTTGTAATAGTTGATACTAGTGCGTTCATTGTTCTGTCCATGTTGCCAATGGATCGGTGGAGTTGCTGCTGCTGTTGTTGAATATCCTGGATGTTTGTTTGTTTGGGGATTGATTTATCAATGAGGATGTCTGCTGTATTGCTTTTCTATATATATTCGGTATCAGCATAGTAGTATCATTCAAAATTGTCGATGCGTTTGTTGAGGTCATTGAGTGACTCTTTGATTGTTGTGAGTTTATCCCAGATCGCAATTAGCATTGTAAGAATATTATCAGTTGAGTCAAGGTTATTTTGCTGGTTTCTGATAGTGTGGGTTAATCTTTTAACTATTGAGGCATATAAGCCTGGTCTGATTGATTTATTTTCAGATGATGTGTGTATGAGTTTGCGAATATGAGTAGATTTAGCTGGTCTGAAATGATTATAGAGTTTTCCAAATTTGTGAGCCTGTTCTTGATTATATTCATTCTATTGTTCTCATCACTCCTTAATTGTACAATTGGCTATGAGGTGTTCTGGGCTGTTACAGATGATATATAATTTTGTGTCAATAGGTTTACCAATTAAAATGGTCTCAACTAGGTTGAAGGTTTCTTGCAATACTTGTTGAAGTAGTTGTTGATTTTTGAAGCTGAGTACTGCATACTTTCTGGGTCTGTATGACATCAATCGAGGTATATAGCATGTTTTACTGCAGTTGTTGGTATATTTGTTTGAGGTCAAATGCATGAGTTTCTGATGAAAGGTTGGTTAGTTTTAGGGAGAAATATCCTCTTTCTTTCATTTGTGTTGGGTTCCACATTGCATTGAAAATTCTTATTGAGTCTGATTTAATCAGGGTACTCCAGGACTCGAGTATTTTGAGCTTGTCTTCCTTATTGGCGAAAGTGATTGTGGCTGACTGCCACATTTGTTGAGTTGTTATTCTGATATTGGTGATCTATCTAAATTTGGCAAATGTTTGTTATACATCTATAAATCTTGTGTTCAAGTAGATATTTCAGACTTTGATGCTTTTTTTCTTATTGAGTTTACTGATGATTTTGGGGAGTAGTGTGAGTGTAAAATTATCTGATTCCATCAGAGGAATATTGCTAGCTGCAGCAGCAGATTGGTGATCACTGAAAATGGTGATGATATGGTCAGTTTCTTCTATTTATTCATCTTGAATTGTGAGGAGTCCTTCAGGGGAGTTAAGTGTCTTGGCGAAAAAGGTTATTTTCTTTTCAGTGTAGGCTCCTGGTAAAAGATCTGCTCTGATTCTGAGTTTGATTCTTTCTTTACTGTATCTCGCGTTTCTATCGAAGAGTGATTGAGGTCTTGGTCTTGTGCCCTGTCTTAATTCGTTCTTCTTTTGTTATCTGACAGTATGCCAGTCTTGGTCTTCTTGAGAGAAGGTGTGGTCTTCGAAGTCCATTTCAATGTCCAAGTCGTCTATTCTGTGAAGTCTTGAATTGTCCATTTCTACTTCCTTCCCTTTTGCTATGGATGTCCTACCTAAGTTGGTTTGGATTTTGTTTCGTGAGTTTTGTTCTTCTTTGATCTGATCACTCCAAATATGGTTAGTTCCTTTGATGTGTGTACTGCCTGTTGTTTTTGTGGTGATGTCTTTGTCGAGTATATTTGTTTGTGAAGTAGTTGGGGTTGGAGGGAAAGTTACTTTGTGTAAAATTGTTTGTTTTATTGTGGTTTTCTTTTCCATTTTTTGCGTTTCTTTGCTAATAAGGATGGCCTTTCCCTTGATGAGTTTGTCGATATTGTAGTTAGGTCTATTATTCAGATATTGTGCCCTTTTGATTCTCTTCATCTTTTAACTGTTTCTTGTGTTTTTGTAGTTTTTGCTGCTGTGCCACAGGAAAATGGGAAAGAGTTGAAAAAAATATAATAAATAAAACTAGTATTAAGATATAATATATATGAATTTTATAATTTTTGGTTGTATAATTAAGGATTTAAAAATTGTCAAAGTTGAAATTTATAATAAAAACATAGTAGGTGGACTCAAACTTTTAGAAGCAACTGTATTATCAGGTTTTCATTTTTTAGATCAAAATGAATAAACAAAATGATTTAGATATCTACACTTTTTACAAATAGATAAACTTACTAAATACTATAACAATAACAGTACAACTGTCTTTCAAAGTTAGCTGATCAACATTACTTTCAATTATAATATTCTTACTTTTCACTACAGGAATCAAACAGAAATCATAACAACTATTTGAAAGGTATTAAGATTATAAAACAAATATAGCTAATATATCAATAAATAATACTCAATAAAAATAAAGATTTTTTCAAATAATAAGCAAAAAATATAAACTGTCAGGAAAAAACTCAGAGGCTCTACTCATTTGCTATTAATTTTAGCAAAATGGACTTATGGAATCACTCATAAAGAAGTTTTGCATTTAAACTTTAGAGTAAAGAGTTCTCTATAATAGATAAGCACTATATCAAAATATCAGATATATATCAATAAAAAACATATTCTACATGTTTATACACAAAAGACTATATTTGTCTATTTAGATACCCTTTTCACAGTATTGATATCAAACTTATCACATTAAATATTATTTATTGAAAATAAAAGCAAAAATTGATAGAATGATATGATTACTTATACTATTAAAAAATTTTCAAGAAATCTTAACTGGAACAAAAAGGAAAAAATACAAATAGTCTTTCAACAAAAGAGTGTACAAGCAACCTGACTTTAACAAAATAAATATATGTTTTCTAGAAATAATATTAAACATTCTTTATAAAATCTATAATAGCACTTAGGTATATTAGTCTTCAATAAGAATAATATGCTACAAGGGTTCAAAAGTCCAAGTTTCAGACTAGGTAATAACTGGTTTTACTGTAATAATATATATTAAACACATGAGAAAATATCTGTAATATAATTTTTACTTGACAAGGTAACATGGATTTGTATATAACTTCAATAAAATTGATAATGATACATATTTTTTTAAAAAAAAAAAAATAATAATAATAAAATATATTATAATTATTTTAATGGTTGAATTTATAAAATAAAGATAAATAAATATACAAATTAAATTTTTACAATTTTTATTAAAAATTTTTTTGTTTATATAATTTATTTAAGCAATAATAAATTACTATTTTTAAACTTTTAAAAAATTTTTAAAATTAAATTTATAAATAAAAATTTAATAAATTATATTAAATATATTATTATATTATTAAAAATCTTTAAGAATTTTTTATATGTCAAAATTTTTTTTTGATTTTCAATTAATTGTTTTTAAAAATTTACTATAGTAAAAAATTTATTCTCTGATTACTTTTATACAATATATAAATTTATATATAAAAGTTTATAAAAAATTTTTATTGATTATTTTTTTAACTTTAAATCAAATTTTGAAAAAAAAAAATTATTAATTGGTTATTATTAAAACTCAAGTATTTTTAAATTAGATTATAAATTATATATATTTGAAATTTTATTTTAATTAAATAATTATTTATTAAATTATAATAAAAAATAAAAGGGCAAAAAGTTTTGTTCCAAAATGTATATAATTTTATAATTTCAAATTACAATTTTAAAATATAATTTTAGGATTACAATTTTATGATTGATTTTTAAAATTAATTATTGATATATTTACAACCGAATAATTTGTATTATTATTATTATTATTATTATTATTATTATTTGATTTAAACCATTAAAGTTTTGATACAATAAAACCTTTTAATGTAACTATGAAAAAATATTTTCCGTGAATATTTATTATTTTTAACGTTCCAATTTAAAACTTAATACGCAAAATATTTTCATTTACAAGTTACGATTTTGTTATGTCAATGAGTATTATTAATAAGAATGAAAAATTAATGAACACGGTGAGCTTCGGACAGAACCTCCAGATATTTCGCGAGCCGCCATCATCGCGAGCTTAAAGACAGTGAGCACAGGATACTTACAAGTTTTTAAGCCAATTCTTAATTCAGAACCAGCGATAAAAAATACCATTCATGCAAAAAATTTCTTTTGACAAAATGCTTATACGTATATGCATGTACGTTCCTTTTCATCTATCATGTCAAAAAATAATGGTAATGCCTATTTTAAGTGGATATTTGTTAATAATGTACTTAACTGAATATATGTTAGCGAATAAGTAAGGTTCGAAGTGGATAGATGGAGTGGATAATACAGTATGTTTACGGATGCGAGTACGTAGACGTGAAAAAACTAGGCACAGTATTTATACTATTTATCGGTTAAATAAATGAAATTTAGAATTATGTTAACAAATCATTACAAAAACAGACAGCGGAAACACGTACGTATCTTCTATACATGCGCACATATTCGTAAGATACCCCAATAAGGTATGCAATAAGTACCGATAACTACAAATACTCTTATCATCGGGAGCTCTTTTGTCGTTTAATAAATTTTTAACTCATGAAAATAACAGATTGAAAACTGACATAAAAATGAGTCTTTTGAGAATACGAGCACACGCAATAAAATTATTTAAAATCAACCTCGCCTTTCTGAAAGCATATAAAATTTAACTAATACGTACGGTATATTAATAATATTTGAGCTTATATTGCTAAAAATAATTTACATATTATGGAAGGTGCATTCACGAAATGAATATTCGCAGTGTGAATTCACTTGGTAAACTGAAGCTCCATATCGGTTGGGAATGGGAAGATGGTGCCTTGAGAATCCACATAAAGGTACACACCGTCCTCATCTATTTTATTAAGTTGGCCAGCTCGACCGGGAACACGTTGAAGGTTCTCGAGCTTCAGAATAGTCTTGACAATAGCCGGGATCGCAACAAAGTTGACTGACTTTCCAAAACATTCATGAAAACCGTATCCGAAAGTTAAGTATAAATCGGTTGGGCGTTGTGGATCAATTTTTTTGGGCTCAGGAAAGATTGAAGGATCCATATGAGCGGAAGCAATAGAGACCAGAATTGTATCATCTTTCTTGAAATCCAAGATCCCATTTGAACCATCATTAATGCTGGTAGATGTTGTAGCACGACGCAAAAGGGCAGGTACAACAGGATAGAATCGTAATGCTTCAAGAATGTATCCAAGTATCAGATTTTCTGATTCTTCATCATTGTTGTTGACCAATTTTCTAATCTCTTTCAAGTGTGATTCGTTTTCGGGACGCAGGTAGAAGTCGACGATCTGAGATGCCGCTTGGGCCATGAGTGTAACACCACCGGAGATTGTGCCAAGAAGATTCCAAGTAGCCAAGTCTGAGTTTTTTTCATACTGGTCCATTAAGCTTTGCATTAATCTTCTTGCTTGAGGGGACAATTCACATTCAGACGAATCAGCATCTGCTTCAACGGATGATTCAACAATTTTTTGCATAATATCATGCATTTGGCCAAAGATATCTTTCGCTGTCCTTGAGAGTTTAAAACTATTGGCGGGATCTAGATTTACAAAGAGGAACATGAATATAACCGTGAATTGATAATAAACTTCTTGTTCAGTGTAAATTCCGCAGGACGAGTTGGGAGTCTTCACAGGGATGCCAAAATATTCCAAAGCAAAATGGACGGGAGCGAGATTGCAAACGTCGCGGACAACATTAATCTGATAAGTTTTTCCATCAAATGTTTTCTTCTTACTGTCAATTAGTTTTTGCGTAGTTTTCAAGAAAAATTGTTTAAATTCTGAAATAAAATTGTTGTGATTTTCTGAGTAAAAGGCTCTCTCGATACGAGACCGATCTTGATTATGAACAGAAGTTTCATCTCGACCAAGGAAAAATCCAACACCACCCATAATCAGCTTCATATCTTCGTTATAGGTCACATTAAATGTATCCTTCTCTGAAAGCACTTTGCGGCAACCACCGTAACTGAGTACAGGATGTATCTTCTGCTGCTGATCCTCACTAACCGCTGGAGTGCTAAAATCGAATTGATCAAGTTCTCCATTTCGTTGAAGATTCTCCTTTGTCTTGGATGGGGTGATGAATGGAAACATCGCGTAGATAGAATTTGGCTTATAGCATCCTCGAGTATTGCGCAATATGAGTTTATATATGGCGCTTCCGTTGGCAACACTTGGATCAGGTCGCAACTCCTCGTAGCCCCAGTTGGTCAGGTTATGCGAATTATAATCGTCAGTGTAGAAACGGTCG